TTAAGTTTATTTATTTCAAGAGAGCGAGCGAGGGGGAGGAGGAGCAGAGAGAGAGAGAAAATCCCAGGCAGGCTCCGCGCTGCCAGCATGGAGCCCGACGCGGGGCTCGAACCCACAAACCGCAAAATCGTGACCTGAGCCGAAAGCAAGAGTCACACACCCAACAGGCTGAGCCACTCAGACGCCCCTAGCGGTTCTCTTATTTGCATGCCTTTCACACCCTGTTTTCTCCATAACCTATTGTGGCCCAGACATCAAGGTCAAGGGGCAGTTGCCAGTTTTTGTATTCATGCAATTGTTCTTCTTCTAACAGAATTAGGTGAGAGTGAAATATTTCTTGTAATCACGTCTCTAGCAAATGGGGAAAAAAGGGAAGCAAAGAGGGCTACGGGCTTTAAGAGAAACGGGAGCAAACATATTTATCAGTGGAAGCAAAGACTATTCCTATAGGCTTTCCATGCCAAGGGCACCTGTTGGAAGAATAGAGTATGAGATGCCACCGGGAAGGCAATCATAACATACTATGTGTGGGGAAAAGAAAATCTTACTAAACTGGGGAAAATAAATGTACTTTCAACGGGGTTTGTTTCAGAGGTGCAGCGTACAAACGAGGCTGTTAGGAAATGCCCTCGGATAGTAAATGAACCCCTCACCTGTTCTGTCCATAAGCTTCACCTCTTGGGTCTTGGAGACCCTCGAGCTTTGGTCCCCCGAGCTAGTCTTCCAGCTTCCTTTCTAGAATGCTTCTCCCCAGCCCTCTCGCCTGACTCTCCCATTAGGTTGGAAGACCCTCATGGAAACATGTGCTTCTGCCTGAGACTCTTTCCCTGTAAGGTTCAGATGCTATGTCCCCATGAGGCTGCCTGGGTACAGTGGCCACACTCTCATGGTTGCATCATCAAAGGACAGTCTTGGAAGGAGATGGAGGTGAAGATTGGCTCCACCTCCACCAGCTGGTCCCAAAACATCTGATCTCAATTTTAAAATGGCGGCCGATCCGACAGACACTCAGCTTCTCCTATGTTGACCTTCTGGAACTTCCACTGGAGTCCACTCTTCCTGGGGCCACCCATAAATCCCTCTTCACGGGCCAGAGATCTTGTTAGGAAACCAGTCCACCCAAGGCGTCGAATGTGCCTGAATCCCTGTAGGCTCCTCAAGGATGTTGGTATTTTCCAAACAAACCCTACTTCATTGTGGCCTATTACTGTTTTAATTAAAGGCTGAATACACTTTGCATTTATTTCAGATTCTTACATCTGTACCATAGAGAAGAGTGGTGTATAGTTTCCTTTTCAAGCCTTAAGAGCAGGGAAAATGAAAGGGGAAGTTTTTCAAAAGTGTGTAAGATTTACAACGTTTATTTTTGCTTTTTAAAGGGTATAGATTGATATGATTTCTGAATGACAAAAAAAAATTGCAGCCGTCGAGTTTCCATAAAACTTTCACCCAGTTTCCCTGAATATTAGTAAAGAACATAACATTGTATGCTTATTGGAATCAGGAAATCAATACTGATACAGTTCTATTGATGAATCTACAGGCTTTATTCAAATGTTGCCAGTTGGCCCATAATGTCCTTTTTTCTGGTCCAGGATTCAATCCAGAATCCCTCATTGCATTTCTTTAAAGTTTATGTATTTATTTATTGTGAGAGAGAGCAGGGAAGGGATGGAGGAGAGAGAGGGAGAGAGAGAATCCCAAGCAGGCTCTGCATGGTCAGTGCCGAGCCCCATGTGTGCGGGGGCTCGAACTCACCAATGCATGAAACCATGACCTGAGCCGAAACCAAGAGTCGGATGCTTAATCGACCGAGTCACCCACGTGCCCCCTCATTGCATTTCATTGTTGTGTGACCATCTGTGAGTCCCTCAGTCTTCTCCTTCATGACCTTTACACTGTTGAAGATTTTGTAGAATGTCCCTCAATTTGGGTTAGTCCGATGTTTTCTCATGGTTAGATTGAGGGAAGGCATTTTTGACCAGAATGCCACAGAAATGACGTGTTTTTCTCAGCGCATCAAATCAAGAGATAAATGATGTTGCTATGCTTTGCTCTGATACTGTCAATATTTTTCACTTGGTTAAGGTAGTGTCTTCCTGCTTTCTCTACTTCAAGTTACTGTTCTTTCCTTTGTAGCTAATGGGTGTCTTGTGGGGAGGGATTTTCAGCCCAAGCAAATAGCCCATTCATCATCACACCTTTCCCCACCATGCTGAGAGTCCATTGGTGATTCTTCCTGCAAAAATTATTACGGTGATTTTTCTAATCTCATCATTCCTGCTACATTTAGTCATTGGGATTCTACCCGTTAAGGAAGGATTCTCTCTTCTCCTCCGTTTATTTACTTATTCAATTTTTTAAATGGTTTTTATTTATTTCTGAGAGAAAGAGAGAGAGAGAGACAGTGTGAGCAGGGGAGGGTCAGAGAGAGAGGGAGACACAGAATCCGAAGCAGGCTTCAGGCTCTGAGCTGTCAGCACAGAGCCCGACGCGGGGCTCGAACCCACGACCCGTGAGATCATGACCTAAGCCGAAGTCGGACATATATTTTTAAATGAGGCAACAACAAAGAGCTGTATAAAGCGGTACCTAATCAGGTGTCTCTTAAGTGCCAGGGACACCTTGGGTCTCACCAGCTGTTTTGGAGGAAGTATAGTTCTTTTTTCTTTTTCCTTTTTTCGAAATATAATTTATTGTCAAGTTAGCTAACATACAGCGTATACAGTGTGCTCTTGGTTTCGGGGATAGATTCCCATGATTCATGGCTTACATACAACACCCAGTGCTCATCCCAACAAGTGCCCTCCTCAATGCCCATCACCCATTTTCCCCATCCCCCTGCGTCCCCCCCCCATCAACCCTTAGTTTGTTCTCTGTATTTAAGAGTCTCTTGCGGTTTGCTTCCCTCTCTGTTTGAAACTATCTTTTCCCGCTCCCTTCCCCCATGGTCTTCTGTTAAGTTTCTCAAATTCCACATTTGAGTGAAAATATCTGTCTTTCTCTAACTGACTTATTTCACTTAGCATAATACCCTCCAGTTGCATCCACATTGTTGCAAATGGCAAGAGTTCATTCTTTTTCATTGCCAAGTAGCATTCCATTGTATATATAAACCGCATCTTCTATACCCATTCATCAGCTGATGGACTTTTGGGGTCTTTCCATAATTTGGCTGTTGTTGATAGCACTGCTATAAACACTGGGGAGCATGTGCCCCTATGCACCAGCATTCCAGTATCCTTTGCATAAATTCCTAGTCGTGCTGTTGCTGGGTCGTAGGGTAGTTCTATTTTTAATTTTTTGAGGAACCTCCACACTGTTTCCCAGAGCGGCTGCACCAGGTTGCATTCCCACCAGCAGTGCAAGGGGTGCAGAGGGGCGTGTGTGTGTAGTTCTAAGTTCTGGCCAATAGGTGTCAGGTGTTGATCAGATCTCCCGGCCAGTGGCCTGTCCTCTGGGGACAGGGAGACACAGGTGGAGATCAGTGAAGGGGTGGAATAACCTGAGAGCTCAGGGGAGGCAGGATGGGTCTAAGCTGGCTTCACCGGATGCCCGGGTCCTTGGCAGTGAGCTCTCACAGGCTGCTCCTCTTCAGCTTTCTACCTTCAGGTTTAGGAATATCAAGGACATGGGCCAAGTCAGGGATGCCCCAACTTCTCTAGTCTTGCAAGGGATCTAGTTTTGCAAGTGACACTTCACCATATCAATCTGGGATGCACTGTGTTATTCTTGCCACTGGGTTTCTGCTTCCAGAGCAATTCCACACCACCCCCAACCCCCTCCATCTTCCCCTTCTCCTGTTTGGTGGTGGGGAAAAAGTAGAGATTGGAGGGACCAGAGTCCTCGCCCATCATTATCAAGACGTATGACGTCAAGCATGTGTCTTTCGTGGTTTTGGTTTCTTGTGTGTGTGTGTGTGTGTGTGTGTGTGTGTGTGTGTGTGTGTAGATGGAGTGCGGGGTTCGGGTGGCGAATGAGGCACAAAACCACGAGACCGCATCTAAGCGCCTTTCTGGAACGGGCCTCTGTGTTCACCCCAGGGTACTTTCTGTTTCTCTGTCTTTGGGAAAGTTGCTTTTTCTTGGTATTTAAGGAGTTGGGGGGAAGGGGGAAGCCATTGGTGTTCACGTCTCTCAAAGCCTCAGGTAGTGCTGTGGCTTCTGACCAATGGTAACGTACGACCTTGTGGCCAGTTTCAAACGCCTTTAACAGATATTGTGACACAGAGTCCCATTCAATAGTGGAAGTGGAAATTTCAGCCTTGCCCTTTGTTAATTCTGAAACGAAAGGCTAATTCTTTCCTTGCGAGGACGGCCTGCACAGTGGCCAACCTTCTCACCCCCATTCTGTAAGTGGGGAAACTGAGGCACGGGGAAGAGCAGTGACTCCTGGGATTCCGTGATGAATTCTTCCTGCCAGCATCGTCTGGGGGGTGGGGGCGGGGGTTGGGGAGTGTCAGCCCGGAGGCTGGAGGTGCGGTGCGGAAAGCCTGCCTTCTTGCAGAAGAGGGGGGCTCCGGGCGCCCGTCTGCGCACCGGGGTGCAGGCATTTTAAAGGTTAAGAGCACCCAGAGAAAATAGAAGTAGCAGGAGGAAGTGGGGCGCTGGGTCGCAGTGAGAGAAGGAAGCAGCTCGTCGGAGCTTCCCTTTTCTCCTCCTTCCCCGAAGCCCCCACCCCAAGCCCTCCCCTCCCCCTCCGCCCACCCCTCCGGCAGGGCCCTGGCCCGGCTTCCGCTCTCCCGGAGGGGCCGCACCTGCCTCCCGGGGGGTCGCGGGGACTCGGGGGCTCCCCTCCAGTCGTGGCCGCCCGGCCGCGGGGTTCCGGGAGAGGCGCGCGCACCGCAGGGACCGGCGGGACTCAGGACGCGTGGCCGGGCCGGCCCCTCGCCGGCCCCGCCCGGCCGCCAGGTGGCGCTAGAGGCCGGCTGGGCGCCCCGCCCCCGGAGAGGCCCCGCCCCCGGCCCTCCCAGCCCCGCCCCGGGCCGCCGTCGGAGCGCCGCGGGGGCTGATGCGGCCGTGCGCCCGACCGCACGCGAGGCGCGGGGAGTCGCCGCTGGAGAGGGGCTCGGCGCCCGGCGGGGACTGCAGGTGCGTGGCAGGCGGGCGGCGGCGGCCCCGGCGGGGAGCTGTGCGCTCGGACGGCGGCGGCGGCGGCGGGCGGGCGGGGCGGTCGCGCGTCCGCGCACCTGCCGCCCCGGTGACCCCGGAGGCCGACGGGGCGTCCCGGCGGGGGGTGGGGTGCGTTCGCGGGGCAGCCGAAGCGAAGGCCGCTGCGGTGCGTGTGGCCGCGGGCCGGCGCGAGTCGGGAGTCGGGGGTCCCGCGCCCCTCGGCCTGGGGACCGCCGCCAGGACCCGGGGGTGGCGGAGGAGCCCGGTTGCCGGCCGCCCTTCCAGGGCAGCGCCCGTCGGCGCGGCGGCAGGTGCGTGGTTGCGCGGCTCCGCGGGTGCGTGCGAGCAGGTGCGTGCGAGCAGGTGCGTGCGCGCGTGCGCGCTGGCCCATCCCGGCCCCGGGCAGAGCTCCAAGGGGCTCAGGTCAGTAGGAGGAAGGAGCCGGTTCCGAGGGAGAAGGAAGGCGAGATGAAAGCAGCAGGATGTGGTGTCAAGAGTTAGCAAGCCTCTGCGCCGAGAGGAGGGGCGAGTTTGGCGAAATGAGGGCTCAAAGTAGGCCAGGTCGGCCGGCCCGGAAGGCCCCTCCTGGATTGCCCTTCGCTTCCTCCTTCCCGTCTTCGCCGCATCTTGCTCTTGCTCCCGGCCTGGACCACCTGGTAAGGGGCCTGGACCACCTGGTAAGGGCCCCGTCCCTAGAGCTTATTAAAGCGCACCTGCCCCAGGCCCCAGCCCCAGCTTCGGGGGCGGGGGGCGCCGGGGGCGGGTCTGGAATCTGCATTTTTCTCAAATTTGAGCAAGCTCCGGAAGGGATGCCTCTGGAGCCGTTGCTTGGAGCCCTGTGTGGTGTGGAAAGGAGGCCTGAGTTGCCGGCCAGGCCCTGCGGTGTGACCTTGAGCATCCCGCTGCCCCTCTCCCAGCCGCATTGTCCTAACTGTAAAATAGGCTCTAGCAGTGACCTCACAGAGCGGTGGGAAAATTACATGATTAAAGTCTGGGGACAGTAGCTGCACATGGGGGCTGCTTCCTGTATTGAGCCAAGAACATGGGGGTCAGGGGTTTCCCCTGTGTGTGGTTTGGGGCCAGGAAGGCACAGAAGAAGGTTTCAAATAGTCCAGCTATCTTTTCCTCCTTCAGGATACCGCTCCTTGCTTTTTGAAGCCTAAGCCACCAGGACTGTGGGGACAGGAAGACTTGGGGTCTTTGTATGCTGGGCTTCACTGGGGTCTTTTCTTTTTTTTTTATGTTTATTTCCTTTTTTTGGGGGGGGAGGGGCAGAGAGAGGGAGACACAGAATCCGAAGCAGGCTCCAGGCTCCGAGTGGTCAGCCCAGAGCCCGACGCGGGGCTCGAACTCATGAACTGGGAGATCATGACCTGAGCTGAAGTCGGATGCTGAACCAACTGAGCCACGCAGGCGCCCCCCCTCACTGGGGTCTTAAGATGCCCCTGGCTTCCAGCTTAAGTGAGACGTGCTTATCTTGTCTCCCGGAGCCGTAACGGAGGCAGGCCACCTCTGCCTCCCCGTCTCCCTTCCGTGCAGCTCTGTTTCCTTCCTTCGAGAATAATCAGGAGAAGCTAAGTGGCGGGACTGCGTGAAAAGCATGTTTGGGGGTACTGGAGGGGTGATTACAGGAAGACTGTACATGGACTGTGGGCCCCCTGGCTGAGAAGTGGCAGAGGAGGAGAGCCAGTGTGGCCCGGGCAGCCTGGAGGCCCCAGCCCGGGGTCAGCTGAGCATTTGAGCCTTCCCGACTCTGCCTTCGTCCCAAGAGGCTCACCCCAGCGGACTGAGCTGGCCAACCCTACGGGATCCCTGTGACCCAGAAGACTTGTTTGGCTCAGCTGTGGGTGGGCTGAAAGCCCGGATCAAGCTCCTTAAGAGAGGAAGCTTCTGGAGGGATGAGATGGTGAGGAGCCATCACTCAGAGGGGCGGTGGTGGTCAGTTTGATTTTTGAGTCTCTGGCATAGATGTAGGTGGGAGGAAACACCTGACTTCTGCCCAAAGAGAAAACGAGACATTCCCATAGCAAACATATATGATATATGAGGATATTCCCATTGATTTGAGGATGTACATATGTTCACATTTTAACAGCTTGGAAAGAACATCCGTCTTGTTCTACGGCATCGTACCTTTACAGCAGACGGCAGTATTTCTTTCTTAGCAGCACACAAAATAATAGCGCACCTTACAATTGAGAGCATCTTAGGGGTTCCCGGGTGGCTCAGTCGGGCAAGCATCCAGCTCTTGATTTCGGCTCAGGTCAGGATCCCGGGGTGGTGGGATCGAGCCCCACGTTAGGCTCCGCACTCAGTGTGGAGCCTGCTTGGGATTCTCTCTCTCTCTGTCTGCCCCTCTCTCCCATTCGTGCTCTGTAAAAAACAAAAAAACCTAAGGCATCTTATAGATCCTGTTAAATACATGTATGTTTCACAGAATTGGGGAGGGGGATTGCTGTAGAGGTACAGAGGGACATGCAGAACTATGTCATTCCCGTGAGCGAATTCACATGCATGAGTTTTTCCAGTAGCTCTGCCTCGTAGACCCCAAAACATTTCACTGTATCCACTTGTAAAGGAAATCTTTGTCAATCGTGTGGCTTGTCTTCATAAACACGGTACATTGTCTGCTATTTAGTAACATCTCGGAAATCATCAGATGAGTCTACGCCTTCCCTTCTGTATGCGGGGTCTGCTCAGGACACAGTTTCTGCCCCTTTTCTTTCATCTTGCCTTTTGCGCTTGTCTCCTGAAGCTGTGAGCTCCTGGTGCTGGGCACCGGGCTGAGTACTTCGTGTCCTTCAGTTCTTCACGGCCGTACCCCAAGTAGCTACAACTATGATCCGCATTGTACGGATGTGGAAACTGAGGGCCCAGGCCACCCCGCTACAACGTGCCAGAGCTAGGCTGACTCTGGCATGTGCTGCCGACCAGACAGACCAAGCCCGAGTGGCAGCTTGCATTTGCGGGTGGGTGTGAAGTGCATGCCTCTAGGGCGTGACTTTTGGGGCACAGACTGCGCCAGCCACAGGGCCTGCAGACTCGCGGTGTGGTTCTGGATGACTGGGCTTTTCAGCCCAGTGCCTTCTGGATAAGTGAGATACAGCGTAGCAAGGTGCGCCCTGTAAGAAGGTGGGGGCTGAGGAATCAGAAGCAGGGGGTGGCCGGTGGTCGCACGGAGCAGACGCTGATCCCTCTTGGGTCTGGTGACTACCTAGGCTCTGGGCTCTAGACTTTGGCCTCAGTGGGAGACCCCAGCCTCCAGCCTTCCCCAGCTCCCAGCCAAGACTTTCTCTGGGGGCCGTGATCATGAAAGGCAACAAGCCTGAGCAAGATTTTCAATTGCAAACCCTTCAGGGTGGCCGTAGCTCCCTGGAGAAGGCCCACACACCGCTTGGCAGGGCTAGCCAGGCCTCCCGCTAGCCAGCGCCGGGCCCCTCTGCTGCGCTATCTCCCGAAGCTCAGGCTGACCTCTGTGCCTTTGCACATGCTCTTCCTTCTTGCCGTGTTACCCTTCCCTTCGTCTACTGCCCAGTGCACTGCAACTGCCTCCTCCTCCGTTCAGACCTCATCGTCTCTGAAGCCTCACTCCACGGACCGGCCCCACCTCCGGTCCTCACTGCACCTCGGGCACCCTCCTCTGGGAGCCCTGACCACCCCGGCCGACAGGGTCAGACCAGCAGCTTGTTGGCCTGCTCACCTGAGCCCCCTGAGGCTCAGCGTGGCTGCTCAGCTGTCGCCGTGAAACTCCCCAGGATGTCACAGGCAAGAAGTCCACACGCCCGCGCGGGTGCAGGGGCCAGGAGGGTGGGGTCAGGAGGGAGGGGTGTGCTTTTCATTTTCGTGTTCTCCCTGAGTCTTGCTGCTGTTGTTGACCTAGGCAAATGAGTCTGTGTGGTTTCCTTGTTGGGGGCAGGGCTGGGGCGTGAGGGCTGCCTCTGCCTTCTGCCCTGCCCACATGGAGTCCATCGGCCTTGTTCCTGCCCGACTCCGCCCGAGGCGTGAGATCTGGGGTCAGCCCTGGTGTCAGATGACTTGGGTTGTACCCGCCGTCCCTTCTGTACGTGGGGTCTGCTCAGGACACAGGTTCTGCCCCTTTTTGCTTGTCTCCTGAAGCTGTGAGTTCCTGGTATCGGGCACCGGGCTGAGTCCTTCGGTTCCTTCGGTTCTTCACGGCCATACCCCGAGGTAGCTACAACTATGATCCGCGTTGTACGGATGTGGAAACTGAGGGCCCAGGCCACCCCGCTACAAAGTGCCAGAGCTAGGCTGACTCTGGCATGTGCTGCCAACCAGACAGACCAAGCCTGAGTGGCAGCTTGCATTTGCGGGCGGGTGTGAAGTGCATGCCTCTAGGGCGTGACTTTTGGGGCACGGACTGCGCCAGCCACAGGGCCTGCAGACTCGCGGTGGGGTTCTGGATGATTGGGCTTTTCAGCCCAGTGCCTTCTGGATAAGTGAGATACAGCGTAGCAAAGCGCTGGGCGCGGGGGGTCCTGAAAGACACAGGCAATGTTTTTGCGCTCACGAAATGAGTCCAGCTGGCAAGATGCAAGGCACAGAGATCATGTCATTCCAATTGTGAGACTTGGGTGGGGGGGGGGCTGTGAGATTACTTAAACGGTGCTCCATACAGTTTGGGGGTGAAGGAAAGGCCTCCTTAGCAACGTCATATTTGCATTGACACCTGAGAAAAAGCAAGATAGCAAGAAACAGGGATGCTGAGAACATGATGACTCACGTTAGCAGGTGCGTGCTAAGTGCTCCTGGGCGCATCCTAGCAGGCATCCCTTTTAACCACCCCGATGGCTGTGGGGGCTCCTCTCCTGGGAGCATCGGGGAGGCACCCCACCGAGGTCTGGCATAGAGGGGGGGGAGGGGAGGCTCGAGCCCTTGACCCCACCTCCTCCTCCCTGGCCCCCGCCCCAGACTCCGAGTCCGCCTCAAGGACATGAAGGCCATGGGCTCTATTCCTGGCG